GTTTTATATAATTTGATTAATTAGTTATTGAATTATAAGTAAATATATGATTCTGATTTTTTTTGCATCACACTGTAAATCCATATAAATTATATAAATACATATTTTTATATTATATTATAATTTAATATACTAGAATTTTTTAAGAAACTACAAGAAATAATAAAAAATTATAAAACAAAAAAAGCAACTTTATTCATCTCCAAAGTTACGCCTAGAGACATTAGTCAAAGATGGATGTTCAAGGTAGTAGAATAGTTTATACAATATGATGTATTATATATTATTTGTTTTCTGTAAAGATTTAATAAACAGTACATACTTGTTTGACTATAGGAAAAAAAAATAATTAATTAATTATAAAAAAAATTATAATATATAACAATATTTTAAAAATTTCTTTTATATAAAGTTTTTAAATTTAAAGATTAGGTAGTTTAAACTATACATGTATTTGTATTTAATTCAGACATTTTTCAAAACCCGTATTATATTTATATTACTAAGTAACAATTAGTAAGTAATTGGGAATCATATTTAATTCAGAATCGTATTGTCAATCAAATTTCCTTTTATGGTAATAAGGAAACATGTATAGTTTAAACTAGTGATAGAAGTTTTATTCTCTTCAAATATCTATATATGAACCTATCCATATGATATAAAGTTAATATATCTGGTTAAACTGTACTGTATTAGTTAATATTAGCAATAGTTAATAGATTGTTCATATATAGATATAATTTCTAAAATAATTAATAAAATCTGCATATATAGTATAATTAGTATTAAAAAAAAATAAAGTTTTAAAATTTTTTTATGTTTTTTTAAAAATGTCTAAATAAAAATAAGAAAGGTATAATAAATTTAATATATTAGTTATAGGTAAAGATGGGTCCCTAAATTAAAGGCAAGAATATAATTCAAATGTTTCTCATTATTAAAAAAGTTTTTTTAAAATATAAGGTCAAAAGAAAACTATCTATAAAGGTTTTTTGCAATTTAAGATACTTGATTCAAGTGTTTTTTAAATTATGTCCCTATTAAAGTAATGAATAAATAATTATGTTCCTTCAAAAGGGACATAATTGATCTGTGAAATTTTATATGCTAAATAGTTTAGGGACCCATCCTTAGTTATAGGTTCTAAAAAAAAAATTAAAAGAAGAAAATCTTGATAAAAAATCTTTAAAAAACTTTGATAAAACTAAAAACAATCTAATAGATATTAAAAGTATTTAGAAAACAAAAATATATAAAGAAGAAATTACAAAGTATATGAAGACACTTAAAGCTGGTTTAAATGTATTTATCCAAATGAATAGATAATTGTAAACTTAAAAAATTTTAAAAAATTTTTCAAGTATATTAATTTTAATTTATTAAAAAGCTATCTCTAAGTAAATATCAAAAAGTCAAAAATAAAATGCCATTATGTCAATAAAATCATTTGAAAGTATTCTTTATTTTTTGTCTTTCAAAAAATAAATTTTATTTAAAATTAAAATATTCAAAAAAGATCTTGAAATTTATATTAAAAAATAACAATTTTCATGTCTAACAAAATATTTTTGCTAACAAAGTTATGCGACTATACGTTACACGGAAATTCGTGACTATGAAATCATCGCAGGTAATAAGTCCCGTGCCTGTTATATTATCTTTCGACAAAACCCACGTGACATTGAATTTGCCAATCACTTTTGTCAAGAAATTTAGATTTTTCCGACTTAGTAGTAACACTTCCTTCATTATAAAATGACGACTGCAGCGAGACCAACTTTTGACCCTGCCCGTGGTTATGATAGTAAAGCTCCATCTTTACAGTATAGCTCTCGGGATCTTGCAGCACATACAAAACTCAAATACAGACAACCGGGACAACTCACACAAGAAGAACTTGAAAATATCGACCTTAGAGAAGAACTCCTGAAAGCTGAGAGAGAACACTTTGATAAAAAGAATGGGGCTTTTATTTCTACAGAAGATCAGCATACCGAAGATCGGCGCCGTTTGCTGCTAGAGGCATCAGCTCTAGACAAGGACGACAGTGACGACGATAGTGAAGAAGATAGTGAAAGGTAAGAGGGATAAAAAAAGTGATCTTTATACATCTTTATACACTAAAAAATCGGGAATTGGTTATTTACTATATATAGTGAGGAAGAGGAGGAAGACGACGATACGGCTGCATTAATAGCTGAGTTAGAAAAAATTAAAAGGGAACGAGCTGAAGAAAAGGAACGACAGGTGAGAATTCTAAAACTCTATCTCTAAATTTAAGTTAATGAAAGGATTCTTACATAATTACACCTTATCGAAGGAAATGGCAAAATTAGAAGAAGAAGAACTACAAAAACAAGAGGTGGCATTGACTGGAAATCCAATATTAAACAAGGATTTCAGTGTAAAACGAAGGTAAGTGCTTTTGGAGGCTCATAAAACTCATTTGATTTTCAAAAATCTTGTATACTGATGTTTTTTCTTTTTCAATAGATGGGATGATGATGTAATATTTAAGAATCAAGCTCGAGGTGTTGATGATAAGCCCAAAAAACGATTTATCAATGATACTCTCCGTAGCGATTTTCATCGCAAATTCATGAATAAATATGTGAAGTGATTGATAATATCGTCTTACACTAAGTAAACATTTAGAATGAAGTCAGTTCAAGATGCTATTACTATATTATTTTCTTGGAGGTCTCGAGAATATTTTAGAATTCAATCTAATAAATGCTTTTAATATAAGAATTTCCAATGAAAGTAAGTACGTTTAATCCATTTATTAGATCTGATTTATATTTTTTAACATTTTCTTATACTGCAGTGAATATGAAGTCAAACTTGTGAATAAAAGTTTCTTAATTATTAATTCAAATATTACATTTTTTGATAATAAAATTTTATATACTAAATTATGTATAATATGTAAAATTGTGTATATAACTAAATATACAATGCATTAAGAAAAATTTTAGACAAATTTAAAATTCAAATTGTTTGTAAAATATTTAGTGTATAATTGAATTTGGAATTGTTTCTGTAACGCCAACTTTTTTTTTTTTTCAACATTATTTTTTTATTTGATTTGTATAATAAAAGATATACAGTATATCACAATATTTCTCATATTATTTCAATAAGCTTAATGTTAGCTTATTCTACACAAAACATAACTAATATCAAAAAAAAATTTTAATATAATGTTATTATATAGATATACCTAAATAGTAGCTATACCTATCTATTTAAAAATAAAGATAAGATATAAAATATATAAAAAAAGTAAAAAGAAAAACAAGTTAATTGTTTTTTTTTTTTAATATCTAATCAGGCCATATATTTCAAGTTTATTTAGTTTTCAAACTTTAAGATTAAATGGACCCAAGTACAGATATTACAAGATACATGTAGTATCATTTATATATATAGTGAAAATCATAAGTTGTTGACCCACCCCTAATTTAATACAGAGGTAACACAAAATTTATTTTATTTTTTTTTTAAAAAATACGTCGTCTAATCTAATTATTAATACATAGTGAAGTCACCATTTATTTCAATTAAAGCCTCTATATGATGTTTCATACTGCAGATCAAATTTTGCATAAGATCACTAGATAAGTTGTTCCATTTTTTTTTTAATTCGGTCTTTAATTTTTTAAGTATACTAATTTTTTTTTTGCTATATTGATTTTCACCAATCTTCAAACATTTTCAATCGGATTCTGATCCGGTGACATTGCTGACCAGGGTAGAACCTCAATGCCATTTTTTTCCTTTTATTTGCTTGCCAGTTTGAAGCAATACTTAGGATCGTTGTCTTCTTGCAAGATCCAACCTATATAATCATCGCCATAAAGCTTAGAGATGAAGAATAAAAGATTTCTCTTATAAATAGAAACCATAAAATCGATGTTGAGATTCTATTGAAAGCAAATTAACTTGCCAAAGCTCAAAGTCGAAAAACAGCCCCACCCATTCACTTTTAATGGATACTTGATACTATGAAATATTTTTCTTTTTCCAGAAAACTGTCATACTTTTCTTGTAGATTGGTATAAGCGAATAGTACTTTCGTCTGAAAAAATAACATTATTCCAGTCGAAATTTTGGTGTTTTTTTGCCCATTGCAAGTATTTTTGTTGGTGCTTCTTGGTAAGTAAAGGTTTAGACAATTTGTTTATATATTTTCCTTCAAATTTATAAAGACATCGATTAATTGTACTTAAACTAATCTCAATCTTTTATTTTTTTATTTGCTTTTGAATTTCAATAGTACTTGAATCCATTTTTTTCTTCGCAATTTGAATGATTACTTGATTTTGCTTTGAGGTTGTTTTGTGCAGCCGGCCAGTTATTTTATTGTTGCTCAAATCCTCTGATTTTTTCCATCTTTGAGACTAAAAAGTCACTGTACTTTTAGTATAACCAACATATTCGACTGTATCTTTAAGTCCCAACTTCGATCCTAAGGAATGATGATGCAAAAAACTGATTTTGTATTGCTTATGGATCGGCAAAGTCATTTTTTGGTCATGGGAGTTTAAGTAACTTCTAATTCCGGATGGAGACAAGATACTAACCTATAAATGGCATGCCGATTAGTATTCGTGTTACCCTTTGTGCACACAAAATTTTAAGATAATATATTTCATTTTCAGAAAGTTAGAGGTGGATCGACGACTTATGATTTTCACTATATGTCTTTTTAAATTTTGGGAGCTGAGTTTTCTATCATTATATCGAGATTATCAGTATAATGAGTATTGATATAATGAGGTTTGACTGTAATTTGAATTGAATTTTGATTATAAGAATATAATATTTCAGTTATAAAAAATAAAAATAATTTAATAACATTTATTTATATATTTTAAATATATTTTTATTTATTTATTTTTTTTTTTTTCCATAATCAACCAAGTATTTATTGTGTTTATTTAATCTTTAAAAGAAGACATATTCGTACATGTTTGACTTATATGCATAAACTAACTACTTATACTTGAATACCCGTCTTAAGCTATTAATCTCTAGATATGATCTTGGAGATGAATAAAGTTGCTCCCTCTTGTTTTCTGTTCCTGAGAAAACGCGAGTTCATTGCCTACAGTTCATCACTACAGTTCACCTTGGCAAAATCTTGATTACTTCATATCCCTAACCATTTTCTTCCTTCCTTTATTTTATCCTATAACATCTTCGTAAGTCCAGGTATATAGCTTTGACCGATTGTTATTTTTGAATAAGTTGCCACTGCTCTTGAACTTGACGGATTTTGATGGAGTGTTTCTTTCCCTTTTCGAGAATTTTGTGTACTGGTGGCCTTGTGCTTGAGTATGGTTGTTTCCTTTCCTTTGCCCTTTTCCAGGAAACTCTTCTTGTGTTCATGAATCTTTTCACATCTAGGGTTCCAAATTAGCTTTCTTATCTTATTACACCAGAAACTGGAGAGTTTGTTGAGGATTTTTCTGGATGTAACTTTGGAGATCTTTAGTAATCGGAAGGTGTTGGTCCATTCTTCTATGTCTTCCTTTGCCCAGAGACCAATAGATGTGTTAATTAATTCCTTGGCCGAATCAGTTTTCTCTGCTTCCCATTTGCCAAAGAGTGTATCTATTGCTACATGCTTTCCCTCCACCTTTTTGTCAGCATATTGTGGAATCCATTCTTTTATGAGTTTGTCTCGGGCTTGGTGCCATATGTTCTTCTTGAGATCTTGTATTTCCTTGCATATTAGTAGGTGATCTAAGGTTTCTTCTTGAAGGTGGCAGAGTACACACTGGCTGCTAGGCATTTCTAGTACATTCCTCTTGATTAGATTGTCCATAGTTGGGAGTTCGTTATGAATCAGTCTTGCCTTGAATGTTTTACTTTTTGCTGCTTTAAGAGAGGTGATGAGGGATCCTTCGTCTTTGTAGAAATCCCAGAAACCTTTCCAGTCGAACTTTTCAGGATTTTGGATCTCTTCCTTCCATCTTTGTTGAATTCGGTTTTGCAAGATCCATTGTATGAGGATTTCCCTTTCATTGTAATCCTTGAGGAATGCTCTAGTTGAGATATCAATAGGAATCTTATTTTACTCCGGTACTGTGATAGGCACTATTGTGGATAAGGGTCTCCATTGGACCTCTGGTTCTTCCTTGGCCTTTTTGGCTAACAGGTCTACTTGATTATTGTAAGGGTCTTTGCTATGGGCTTTGACTTTGATGAGCTTTAGGTGTAAATTCTTCTTGGATATGATGTCAGCCAGTCTTGTCCAGAGCTGCCAATTCGGTTTTTTCATTTGCTTTTTTAGAGTTTCCTTGGGGTGTGGTTTGATTATGGCCGAGTAGATGTTTATGCAGGAAGAGCTATTTGTTTTGATTTCAACTGTGTTGCCATTAGGAACTAAGAGAATTGCTAAAAGAATCGCTACTAATTTTACCCTAGTTGATGAAGGCCAATTCTCCACAGCTGCTTGGAATATTCTCCCAGGATTAGGACCTTTAATTTATATCCATGCTGCATCCATTCTTAAGGACTGATCATATGCATGCCCTAGTGATTCGTCAGTATAGAATTGATACAATCCATTATAACTTTGAACCATATTTAGACGATATTCTTCACATAGCAGGGTACAGAGATCTCCTTCTAATATGTTATCTTGTATGATCTGCCTGCCATGATCTTCTATTTCTACAAATTGAAGCTCTGATGTGGGTATATTCTATAAGTATGTCTTTTCCATCTTATCTTTGATCAGGTTTTTTAGTGTATGGACTTCCATAGAAATAGTTGGTTTCTTACTTCTCCTGTACTTTTTAATATTATTAATCCAGGTAAATGTGAGTGTATGGCTTTCTCTGATGTTTCCGTACCCTGGTTGTATCCTTGTGAACTCTGTTGTTTCTGAAAGTCTACCTAAGCTAACTTTGTAATATTCTATTTCTCTGCTATTATTTGCCGCTATGCTCTTGCTTCTGGTCCAGCAAAGCTCCTTGTTAGTACTGTTCATATATACTTGCCAGCTCCATCTTCTTGGGTCTACTGGTTTTTCTGTGGAAAAGAGTAGTCTATCCTGTGTTACCCACTTATACCTAGCCCATGTTCCTTTTAGTACTCCAAATTCATTTGCCAGGATCTGTTTTATTGTCTGGTACCAGCAAGGAATTGGTCCACGTCTATGGCTTTGTGGGTCTTGAATCATTTTCCAATTTAATAGGGTGTTGGATTTCCTATCTATGAGTTGGTCTGCAAACATGATGTTATGTTTTCTTAATGAGATTACTGCTTTGTTATAGGCTTTGGGATTATTCAGCAGAGTTTTGATTGTAATGTGTCCTCCATCCCATTGAAACATGTCTTTCCATTGTGAATCTGAGAAAGTAATTCCTAGTTTGTTAGCCATTTTAAGTGTTTAAGCTGTAAAGTTTCTCTTGTAAGGGTTGTGGGAGGTATCATCTGAAAGCATGTTTGCTGGTTTCCAGTATTTTATCTGTGCTTGTTTAAGACGAATGAGAGTTGATGTGCCAGCATGATCTATATTGTTGAGGCGGTTTGTGAGGTTGGTGATTTGGCTTTCTATCTGAATTTTGTGAATACTTTTAATTTTGTAGAAGGCCTTGTGATGTA